TAAACTTTTGGCCATACCTTTGTTTCTGCTCTCCTCCCATGCTCCTCAGGACACAGAGCAAGAGAGAGCAACGCTGTGCCAGTAGCTGGGAAGGATGTGTGGACTGTCAACCTGGCTGCTGCCAAAATGAATATATATTGTCCATGTTCTGCTTGCCTCGAGCATTCTAATTTGGTTTCCTACACCCAGCCACCAATTTTAAAGCAAATTTGAAGGTATTTTTGACCTTCCACTTTTTTCCAAGTGATTTGAAACTGGCTATCAGATTCAAAAGTTACTAGTAGAGGACTGATGAGAAAAATCAAGCAGCACATTCCTATGAGCCTTGTTTCCTCAGGAAATCATTATAAAAATCTTTACTTATCAATTATTTGTTTAGAATTAATTTATCAGAATGTGTTAAATTTTTCTTTAATAATGGTTATCCAAAACTTGTGAGTTTAATTCCTTCATGAATTGCACAATTCACTACACCCTGTAATTATGAAAACTGCACCTTAGTTTTTGTTTCACTGTTTGTTTCACTAGTTTACAGTTTTCATGTCAAGTAACAGCTCTCTTGCCCAAGTGACTGGCACATTTGACAATACAGGACTAAAGCAGATAATTATTACAGGTATCCTCAAACTGTTCTGTTTTGTTTTGTTTTTTAAAAAAAACCACAACCCAACCAACAAACCACAACAGTATTTTTGCCTTTTAATTCACGTCACTTTTGCCCATTTAGTCCAACCTGACTTCCACACCTAACTCATCAATGTTAATTGAAAAGTTTCACTTTTACACAAAGAGCACTAGTGCCCCCTTCTCTTACTGTCAAGTTGCTCCCTTTGTTAATTTGATAGTTGTCATTTATCTTTCCTCATGTTTATGCTGCACTATTTCTCCTACCTCCAAGTTGTCGGGTTTGATATGTATTATTACAGTTATTTGCTCTGTGAGCCTCATCTCAAGTTTTCGCTCTGCCCTTACCCCTTGATGATCTTGTTCATGCCTCTCTCCACTCTTCTAAACATGATGCTCTCTGCTAGGACCACCACTTAGCTTCATTGTTGCAAGGGGCCTTTTACATTACAGTATTTCATTACTTTTATGCAGAGTTTTTGCTGAAAAACATTCTGACAGACAGCATGCTATATAATAGCGGCAGGCCTATTTGCAACATGTTTCACTGCATGCACCAAAAATCTTTACAAAAACCAAGCTAAAATTCAAAAGGAATGAACATTTTTGTTTTGTTTGTTAAGTAAAGATTCAGAACAGGAAAAACAAAAATAATGAAAATTAAATCAAGATATTTCAATATCTGGGAAAGAACTGCAATACCGCACCTACATCCCACACAGAGTATGGAGATGGAGAAACAAATAACCTGCAGCCAGCCTACTAAATATTCTGAAAACCAGAATACTTTGGTGAATGATGCTGGAAAAGCCAGAAATGCCAGCAGTAGCTATCATGGCACTCACTGAAAGAAATGTGCAACCTACTGGCTTAAGTACAGCTTTGCTGAATTTGTGGAGTGAGGACGTGAGATCTCCAAGGAATTATACTACATGAGCTCCTCCCAGCCATCTTTGGTGACCCTGAAGCCTGTATGTCAGACTGGAGTGTGAAGGTGCAATTTTTTCCTACTCATGGACTGAAAAGATCTTTCTTAGATTTATTTCTACATAGCTGCCTAGAAGTCACTCTGATTCACTGACCAGTGGAATAGGTTGCCCAGAGTGGTGGTGGAGGCCCCACCCCTGGAGACATTCAAGGTCAGGCTTGATGAGGCTCTGAATAGCGTGATCTAGTTGGAGATGTCCCTGCTTATAGCAGGGGGGTTGGACTAGATGACCTTTGGAGGTCCCTTCCAGCCCAGACCTTCTATGATTCTATGACCAGCAGGGTCCTTCAGGCTCCATATATGCTTTCATCCTGCCCAATACCTATTCCCTAGTAAAACAGGCAGTAATTAGTGCATCTGCTCGCTCCTGTCCACAGGCTAAACTAAGCCAAGTCAGCTGCTGCTACCACATCAGCAATGAGAAGGAGAGATGAGAGACCACAAAAACCTCTGTGAAGTAAAGACACAACTGCAGGCACCTTCTTATTCCCCCCATAGTCCTTACTGCTCCTTCACACTACTGAGCCCTCTGGCAGAAGCAAATGTCCCAGACTATTTCCTAGATGTCTACCCTCTCCCTCCCTGCAGGATGGAAGGCTGCTACTGCTGAAGGAGGCAGGACAGACCCAGACCAGACCCAGCACACCTGCAGAGACAGACTGGACTACCCTTAAGTACTGTGTCCCCTGATTGACATACACAAACCTTTCTTCTCTTGCTGTCAAGTATAAATACTCAGTACATAGCACAACTTGCTGCTACTTCTCTAGCTGCTTTCTTATCCAACTGGAAAAGATTAAAGCATTAAAGAACATATTATTCAGTTTCATTATTATTTTTGTGGTATGAGTTCAATAACAAATGCTTTACTGAACAGCAGACAGATAAAAGCTACCAAATCTCCCATCTGCAAACACAGTTTATTTTACAAAGAATGCTCTAATGTTGTTCCACACCAATTTACCTCTGGTAAGCGCATGGCATTTTATATCATTTATCTCTAAACCTTTAATTATTCTTTTCTTTTAAGTTGGTTATAAAGCTTTGTATGTTATTGAGATAAACTGCTACCCAGGTAAATTTCTCTTAGCTTCCACTTTCAAACATAGAGCATGCTGTATTAAAAATTCTACAGTTACAATAATACTGTCTTTTAAGTCTGTGATTCTAAATTTATTTTGCCTTTTTTTTTTTTTTATTTCAGTTTCATAGGATAAAGACTTATATTGTCTTTCCCATTTTGAGCACCTTACATGCCCCTGAGCACGGTAATATATATATACAAAAAACAATGACATCTAGTTGATGGGATAAAAGACACATAACAGACCCCGTTGTGAGCCTCTCTTTGGGTGGAGTGTTTTGTTTTACTTTGGTTTTTTACCCCCCAACACAAAACGAAAGCACAACCTGGATATCCCTAGAGGAATTCAAGGCTGCAAATCACCATCATGTTTAATTTAGTGTCTAGCTCAAAATGGTAATATCTATTTCTATACACTAAAAGCAAGTAGCTTGCTTATATCATCTCGCCCCAACCACCTTTACAAAAAGACAGCACTTTCCCTGAGGGTGCACAAATTCACGACTCATCAGTTCTTCTGAAGACTAAGTACAAGAAAATGATGCATGAAGAAATTCGGCTAACTGCTGAAGACACTTGAGATCTTCCTAGCACCAGTAAATTTACTTTAAGCAATGCTGTCTTGGCAGAGATCAACAATGCCTGCATTTTCTTGGGATTCATGAATCATGGCATCTAAATATCTAATTCATCCAAGAGACTGGATCCAATAAATATTGTCAAGAGGAAGACAATATCAATCTCAGTTAAACAAAGAGCACTCACAACAGTTGCCACTCAGACAACTCTGATGTTACTGCCACCCATTTTTTTTTTTTTTTAATGCCTCCTATAAATATTCTATTGATTACAAAGAAGCAGCTCCAGATACTAAGTCTTCCCTGCCTGAGAGATGAAGATTTATATTAGTCTTGGCTCCTCCTTCTTAACTATTCCTGGTCAAAAGCCCAGACAACTGAAGAACTGGAGTGAAGTTGCACTGGAAATGTCAGGCAAGGACTACCTGTCTTTGCAACTGGCTGTAGACAACTGGCTCTACAGAGCTTATTTTCATTTCTATCCTGTTGCCGGAACACAAACACACACTCTATTTGGGCACACAAAAATATTTCCTAGAGAATTATGACAAATTTAAGCTATGAGGAAAGGTTCATTAGTAAATAGGCAAAAGAATAGAGAAAACCTAAGATTCTCATTATTCAAGTATGTACATACATTTTAAGCAATGGTTGAGGACTATTTCCAAAAGCCCTATGGGATACACAGCCACCTTCAAAACTAGAGGATGTAAGAGGTAATTTTCCCCAAGACAGAAAAAAAGAGCATGATTTCTCTTAAAAGTAAACTGATTTTTTTTCACAAAGAAAAAGACAACCCTTACAGCAGGAACAGCCCTAGACCTCCATCTGGAAGTGACCAGAATGGAGCTGAGGTAAGTAATGATCTGATGGAGCTAAGGTCATATCTTCCCTTTGAATAACAACCTATGATGGTACCCCTGACACCAAAAAACTGGAACAATTTTAGGTCCTTTTGTTCAATAACATTGCTAGAACAACAGAAAATAAGACCTTCAAGTGCTTCTACAGAGATGTAAGTGAATAACTGAGAGATGGGCTTTGATGTTGCTTTTACACATGGTCTCAGCTGCAAATATCACAGAGATGTCAAATAAGCACAATGACACTGCTAATACAGTGCTACAGAAAGTTAAGAGAGCTTTGACAGAAAGCTTTCACCAGAGAGAGACTGGAGGCAGACGAAAGAAACAAGCAGCTTTTGAGATATTTTTCCTACCATATTCAAAAAAACCAAGAACTTCCTGTACTCTTCCATTAAGGGCCCCCATATATTGAATACATAAATTAATATATCAACAAAGGCCTGTTCCATCCCTTTTCCTCCTATTAGCAATAAACTCTAATACCATGAATACTAGTTAACTAGGTGGATAAAAACAGGCAATGGCAGCATTTGTTATAGATGTATAAGAAATAGTCCTGACAAAACAGCATTACACGCAGGTTGGAAACCATCAGGGCAAAAAAGGGATTTGTTTTACAAGAATCCTACTAACTTCATCCTGTAACTCTTCAATAATTGTAGCTTTAGTGCATGATGTACATCAGCTGAGGCTGACTGAGGAGGGAAGGTGGACAACAGCCTATGAGGCAGACAAAATTTTCTTTCATTCATTGCTGTCTAGTTACTCCTATGATCCACTTCACTGAAGTAAATGAGAGTCAGACAGTTTCGTGATTGCTTTAAACTGTAGCGATTTACAAGACAAAGGATTTTGATTACCATTTGACTTAAATAGCTCTCTACATAGGACAACAGATTGCTGAGCAAATTTAATTCAACAATCTAAAGATTCAAACATTGACTCTTACTAAACCAGAAAATCCTGGCAACACACTTTAATATTCATATGAATGAACTGCTCTTCCACCACATAAGCAAAATTCTTTGGCCGATGAAAATGAACCATCTCCCAATAGCCACCATATTCCCCTTGGGACTCAATTAATTTAGGAAAACTGAAGCCCACTGGTTTTATACTTGTGAACTACCAGTGACATGAATAACTATTTTTAAATCTTATTTGTCCTTCAGTAGGCAAGACTCTTGTAAATTGATGACTTAAGTACTGTCCTGACAGTTGCTCACAAAATATGCTACAAAATATACGTGGCCAAGGGAATTTATTGTCATCCAGAATTAGTTGGAGCACGTATTAAATACATACTGTTGCACATATTAAAATAATCAGAGTAAGTTTATGAATACTCCCTTCCAGGCATTTCAGTCATTAATGAATCATACCAATTGTATCCCAAATAAGAAAAAATTCAAAACCATGGTTCTGATTAATGTGTACTTTTTCAATTGCACAAGCACACTTCCACACATTTCATTATATAATTGCAAAAGAGATTCACAGATTTCTTTTTTTCTGCTTTTCCCTGCACTACATTGCAACTTGTTATTTTCGTGAAGAACTGTGAATCCTGTCTCACACAAACATCTGGTAAAGGCTTTAAACTACTACTCAGAATTCTTGCATTTGCTTTTCTGCTAAATGTATCAACAGTAATAACTGAGCATTTGCAAAATTTTACCTAAAGACTTTTAGATGGAATATAAGAATGACAAAAATGAAAATGGGCAGTGAAGTCCCAAACAGGATAAGAAAAGTTCCTAGAAACAATGTTCATGTCTCAGTATCTATTCAGATGCTCTTAAAACAACTTCAGTACAGCTACCCTAAAGGCAGGGTAGCCAATTCCCAAAGGGAATGGTGGTTAAAAAAAAGGAAGGAAATATCAGGTAAAACTTTTTTGGGGATTTTTTGCCACTTTGTTTGAATGGAGCAGGAAATTCATGACTCTTGACAGCACCTTCAAAGGCAATATTGATGTTTTAAACATAGCATGGGAAGACGCAAACAACCAGAGTTCACTGAAGTATCCCTTCTCCTTCTGGGTCTGGATTGAAAGAGACTATGAATGAGGTGGGGCAGATCGATGAGGTGTTTGCTGAAAAGGAACAAGGCACCAGAAAGCAGTCTTTTCTGAGCCCTACCCAGCTAGACTTTACCCTACAATCCTGAAGGCAATGTACCTTGCCTTCTATTTTAGTATTTTGGTTAACTCCTTAAAACAAGAGGTCCAAGAAACAGACACAGATCTCTGTATGGAACCCAGGGTGAAGGACAGGACCTTCTGGCATATAACTGATTCATTAGCCATGCTCCAAATTACAGCATCAGGTGCCACCTAAAATAAGTACAACCAGTGAACTGGACTTCTGTCAACAACACTGATAAGCTAGTGTGACACCAGTAGAGATCACATCACATATATCCTATTGCAATGCAGCACCCTGTGAGTGTATTTGGCCATGACAGCTTTGAATACAGCTGAATTGCACTAAAGGAAGCCAGACATAAAAGCACTTTTTTCCTGTCTCCAAAATATAAAATGAGACTGTGAATTCCTAACCAAAAATTGAAGTTTTCACAGAGCTGCATATATGAGAGATGCAACTAAGACATTTATGAACTATCTTCATTACTGTTACAGGGATTTGACTTCTAAACCTAATTCCATCTACTATGAAACTACAGCCAGCCTAAGTTCACCACAGAAGACATCCAGGCAGGCTCCAGGATGCTGCCCATGTAAAAGGAATTCACTGTGCTCTCTGCAGTGCCCTACTGCAACGAGCTGTGCAAAACCTCCACCAGGAACTTAAACCACAGATACTATACTATTCTGAACAGCTGGGAGAGCTGGAAACCTCCAGTGCCTCTGACTGTTTCATTTTTCTGGTATAGGACAACTGAACCCTTGTCCCAATGCATCCTTGGACAACAGAGACAAACCTCAAAAGAACAGGCACACCTCAGTGTCAGTGAGTGGTGCATCTAGGAGCGAGAGACATGTACATTCGCATTGCCCCTGTGGAGGTGGACAGAGATACCTATTCTCAAATCCCAAATGGGTACATTACGTGAAAAAATGTTCCTGTGCTTCCTCGACGAAGAAGAGACAAAGTTTCTACTCCACTGAAGCTGTAATCATATATGATTGCTCCTACAGACGTTTTCATGGGGAGCTTTTCCCATGTTTTGTCAGGTAGTAAAGAACAGTGCATTTGAAAAGTAGAGCCAGCAGCTCCACACACTGAATACAGTCCTGCAGCTTTCTTAGAATACGCTTCTCTCTGCTTGAAAGCACGACTTCCAAAGAGCTGCTGAATCACTGGAACAGGCTGCCCAGAGAAGTGGTGGAGGCACCATCCCTGGAGACATTCAAAGTCGGGCTCGCTGGGGCTCTGAGCAACCTGATCCAGTTGGAGATGTCCCTGCTTACTGCAGGGGGACTGGACTAGATGACCTTTTGAGCTCCCTTCCAACTCAAGGCATTCTATGATTCTATAAATAGGGCAGTGGTTTGGCTGTCAGCAGTGACTCTACACAGAGCAATGATGTGCACATCGATAGGCTACCTACCAACAGCAACACCCTCATAAAAACTTCCAAGAGTCTCAGTGTTGAGAACCCAAAAATCGGAGGCTAGCAAAGCACTTGTTCCACAGATCAATAGCGACTATCACAGATTCCACAACATGAGCGCAACAGCTCAGCTGTACCAGAATTAGACACAGGATCCTCACAAGCTTTCCTGTGGCAGCCACGCCAGCAGAAGGTGCAGAGGCAGGCCTTTGAGCAGATGATTTAACCTCAGAGCATTAATGCTTCACCCTCAGCAGCCATGACTTGAGGCCTCTTCTAGGTATTTCCATACAGCTTCTTCTAAAAGAATTTTGACAGCTGTGTGCAGATCTCTGAGATGCTCTCCAAACATGGAGGGAGAGAAGAAAACTTAAAAAGGTAAACTGGGTTTTATTTTAAATAATATTTCCTTTTATTTTGCCTCTCAGAGCCTTTTTTTTTTTTTCCCCTTTCTGATACTCATGTCAATTTGGAGTTTCAGATCAGAAATCCTATCTGAAGTTCACAGCCTTAGACAACTGAATCCAGGCAGAAAAGCTCCAAGTACATCTTTGCTGGTTCCTACAGTTTCCAGTGCTTTATAATTAGAAACATCTCAAACAATAGGACTCAACAGTTACAGCAAGTAATTCTGCTGCAGTTTTTCTTCCTGTACATCTAATGTAGAGATAATTATCTCTTTTCCAATTCTCAAAAGGTTTAAGTTATTCAATTCGCTCTGTAGAACGCTAGGATTGCTTTTGAAGATGAGGCATTAAGTGTAATCCACAGCAATTTTTCTCTTTGTTCACTTTTTGAAGATGTTTCTCACAGCCTTTTGTCCTCCTTGACAGCTCCTGACAGTTTTAGAGGTGAGGACAGCAAAGGTAAAGTTGTGTCAAATACTATAGCCACATTTGTGACCGGCTACACAAATGCTTTTTGACAGTTAGTAAGGTTAGATACAACAAAATTCCTGATGTTTTTATACTGGAGGGATATAAGCATTCTCCTGGAATGAAAATTCATACAGTTTGCC